CGAGCTGAAAAAGGAAAAAAAAAAAAAACTCCCCAAAATTATCATTTTGCAGATGACCGAATCCACAGTGTTCCTTTTTTTGGTTAGATTAGCATTCCAATTTACTACCGATGCAATTGCTTTACTTAACTTTCTTCCATGAAATCGATGATAACCGTGCTCAAAATAAAATTTTAACTTTTATTCGTTCAAATTCGATCGCGCTTCAAAAGGCTCTTAGCAGTTGATAGTTTTTATTCAAAACCTTCGAGTGTCGCATTAAGCGCGAATTGATATTCTTCTTATCTTTTTTATTACATCGGAATAATTTTGGCGCGTTTTAATTCAAAATGTTTGGTTACTCAGCTAAGGTGGGATAGATGGTAAACTAAAATAAGTGAAATAACAAAATTGTCTCGTCAACACTCGATTGTTTCAAGATTCATTTATTTATTAGGTAATTGATTCCGTCGTTGAGTTATTCATCCACTTTTTGGCAGCCAATAGCTCTGGTTAAAATCTTGCAAAAAGACGGATCGTCCGCAATGTTTGACGAAGCAAGGAAATGTTTTTCTGTCACATAATCCACGGAGTTTAAGTTTATTGATTTCTACACATGGTAACCAATATATATTTATCATATGGAAAAAACCTCTTACGGAGTAAAATAGTTTATTTTCACAGCAAACAATCTATCTTTGGATGTAACTATTTAATAATGCAGGTGAACGTTAAATTATGGTAAGCTGTGCTGTCTTCAGTTCAAGTCAATTCATTTCTTTCGTTCCACTTCACATCCCAGCTCACGGGCCTGTAAGCAGATGTCTCTTCGGTACTGAAGCTCCTTTTGAGTCTAAACGAACAGTATTACAAAACAGAAAATAAAATGGGGAGCTCGCTTCGCGAAACACGCGCGACAGCAGGGGCGCGTGTGTCATGGAAATTGCCCCTTGAGGCGGTCCTCGCCTGTAGAATGAACAAAGGTGATGGCTCTTCTGCATGTTACGTCATGTTACGACATCTAAGACACATGCGATCCTGCCCGTTGGATACAACGGATGTGTCACATTACCAAAAATAAGAGGCAAACATTAAACAAACCAACAAAAACGCTGTAAGCTACAGAACTCTTTACTAGCCTCTTTAAAGCGTCTGAGGTCGTCCTTCTTCAAGATTCTTGATTTCGCCTTGTTTACAAATAAATAGTTTAGTAATAACGTCGTTTACGAGAAGCAATTGTTTAAAAACGTCAGTTCATACCTAACTGAAATCGATAATAGTATGGTTTACATCGAAAATCATGAACTCCTTCAGGAAGACGAGAAAAAGGATATCTGATAGAATAGGTTAACTTGAGAACTTAAGTAATTAATCACGAGGGATTTTAAAACAATTAGAGCGGGTTTTGGAGGAAACTCTGGCCGACAGAATATAAGATTTCTACCGAGATTATAGATATACCTTTCGATGTAAACCTGGAACACGTAACATTCCTTCGACCAAAACCAAAGAAAGTAGCAGTACCAACAACATCGCGGTTTTCATCTTGCTTGTGCCAGCTTGACTGACTAACTCATTTTTTTTTTTTTCTCAAAATGCCTCGCATATGGAGATATATGTAGGTGCGTCTTTCAGACTAAGATGTATCCGGCTGTTAAGGAGCTACATATTTACCGCCTAGTGGAGAAAATGAATGAATTTTTCAGGCAACTGTAAAAGCGTTTCTTGTTACGTTCATGTCATTACGATGTAATAAATACTTATTTGACCAAAAAGTTAAAGTTTTTTTCTTTTCTAGAAAATTATATTCAATAGCTTCCATCGACAACAGCAACACTTTGAGACCAACGACTTGTGGTCTAAATTCAGTTGGTTTCTGGGTACAAATAAGGCCGCCGCGCTTTAAACTGAGTTTTATTCATAATCATAGAACGAGTTCTGTAGAGCTCTTTATCTCGATTCTCAGTTTTACCTCTAAAAATCATTGAGGATCGCATAAGCATCTTTTAATTAACTTCTTACTCCTTCATGTAATTCCCATATCTTAAGGCCTACAATTTACATCAGGTTTAACTATGTCGGGAAATTCGTGGACACAATGGCCCAAGTGGAAACAATTTGAGAAGTTGTGTTTGCTTGGAACTTGTCTGTGTAACCTTAATGAGTCATTTTTTAAGTAAATCAATTGTTTCCCCCGAGATGTTTTTGGATGAAGATTAATCTAAAAAAAGAGTGCCCCCCAATGTGCATCGCATTCCAAGCAGCTGTTTCGATAGATGATAAGCGCCTCACAGGAATATTTTTCCAAAGGTATACGGCGCATTTTGTTTTTTCAAGTAAACATTCTCGGGGAAAACCTCTCTTAGAACTCCTATACATTTTTTCATGTGTTTGCTGAGTCACAGTGAGGAAGATTTTTTTCCAGCAACTGTCTTCTTGAATTGTCAATCAAGTCATCTTTTTGGACAAAGGGAAACTTTCAACGTAGAGACTTGTCTTAAATTATAAGTAAGGAACTAAGTAAGTAAGTAAGTAAACTCGTTATTTAAAGATTTTAGCGCATAATGGCCAAGCGGCTGATAAACCTATGGCTCATACAATAATATGATAATACCAACACATATATAGATATCAGTTAGTAAAGATAAATACATTATTATAAAAATAAAAGAACAGTTAAAAATACAAAAAACCAATGATAAATTCTAAAATACAAGTAAATCTCAAGATTAAATGACAGCTTCAGGAAACTATAAAAATAATCATCTGCCCTGCTCAGTATAAATTACCAAGGCAATACTTCTTTAAAAAAATGGAAGGTGTGACTGTGGCAGTTTTAATTGTCAGTAATAGTTCTCGTGGGTTACGGTAAATGTCCACTTCGGTGAACAGTTGTCAAATAGTTCCTTACCTTTACAAACCCTTAAAGATGAAATAGTCATGAAACTGGTATTTTTTACTTCAATTTAAACTCCAGTTCACTGCAAATCACGTTATATCCGAAAAGACTTTGGCTCTCTTATTCCTTAATTAGCCCAGCCTTCTTTCCATTTCGTTTCGATCTCGTTTTCTTCGGTGGCATTTTACACCGAATTCAATTCTTTTTGTCATCCTTTTTTAATTATTTTGGTACGCTTTATTTTGAAAAAGTTCCAATCACAATTTTCGGTTGCTCAGCTAAGGTGGGATAGTGATTTAAAATAAGTTTAAAAACAAAGTTGTCCCGTAAACACTCGATTTTCAAACGGTCCATTGATTTGTTAGGTATTTAATTCATGGGTTTTAACATCTAGTGTTTGGTAGCCAATAGCTCTGGTTAAATTCTTGCAAAGATATTGACTGTCCGCAAAGTTGACCGAAACAAAGAAATATTTTCCGCCACATCATCCATAAACTTTATTTTAAACACATTGTGACCAATATATATTTATCACATGGACAAAGAACATCTGATAAAGTAGGTTAACTTGAAAACTTAAGTAAGTAATCATGAGGGATTTTAAAACAGTTAGAACAGGTATAGAGGAAATTGGGCTGACAGGAGATAAGAATTCTACCGAGATTATAGATATAACTTTGCACCTATTCGATTAACCATCGCTCCTTCGACCAAAACCAAAGAAAGTAGCAATACCAACAACACCGCGGTTTTCATCTTGCTTGTACCAGCTTCACTCACTAACTGAATTTTTTTCTCATAACGTCTCGCATATGAAGATACACGTAGGTGCGTCAGTCATAGCAAGATGTATCCAGCTGTTGAGGAGCTATATGTTTACCTCATAGTGGAGAAAATCGATGAATTTTTCGGGCAACAAGAAAAGCGTTTCTTTTTACGTTCATGTCATTATGACGTAATAAATCCTTCTTTGAACAGAAGGTTAAAGACTTTATATAGAAAATTATAGTCAATAACTTTCATTGCATCGACAACGGCAGCACTTTGAGACCATTTGAACCCTATCGACAGAATTATAATTGACAACGACTTGTGTTTTAAATTAAGTTGGTTTCTGGGTACAAATAAGACCGCCGCGCTCAAAATTGAGTTTTCGTCATAATCATGAAACGAGTTCTGTAGAGCTCTTTATCTCGATTCTCAGTTTTACCTCTAAAAATCATTGAGGATCGCATTAGCATCTTTTATTTAACTTCGTACTCCTTCATGTAATTCCCATATCTTAAGGCCTCAAATTTACATCAGGTTTATCTATTCCGCGAAATTCGTGGACACAATGGCCCAGGTGAAGCCAGTTTGAGAAGTTGTGTTTGCTTGGAACTTGCCTGTGTAACGTTAAGCTTTAAAATGAGTTATTTTTTAAGTAACAACATCATGATATATGTTGCAGGTTGAGTATCATGAAAATCAATTGTTTTCCCCGAAATGTTTTTGGATGTGGATTAATCTAAAGAAACGTACCCCCAATGTGCATCGCATTCAAAGCAGCTGTTTCGATAAGCCTGGCACACGAATATATTTCAAAATTATACGACGCATTTTCTTTTCTCACGTAAGACTTTTGAGGGAAAAACTTTCTTAGAACTCTTATACATTTTCTTACGGGTTCGCTGAGTCAGAGGAAGATTTTTTCCAAGGACTGTCTTGAATTGTTAATCAGGTCATTTTTTGGACAAAAAGGAACTTTAACGTAGAGACTTGACTTGAATTATAAATAAGTAACTAAGTAAGTAAACTCTATATTTAAAGAGGATAGCACTTAATAGCCAAACGGCTGATAAACTTGTGGCCCTCATACAATAAAATGATAATAATACTACAAATATAAATATTAATGAATAAAAATGAATACGTTATTATAAAAATAAAAGAACAGTTAAAAAACGAAAAAACCAATGATAAAATCTAAAATAGAAGTATTTATAAGGATTAAAGGACGGGTAATAGGCTCCTGAGGTAATTAATTCATTGATTTATTCATCCACTTTTTGATAGCCAATAGCTCTAGTTAAATTCTTGCACAGAGACTGCCTGTCCGCAAAGTTGACGAAACAAAGAAATATTTTTCCATCATATCATCCACAAACTTTATTTTAAAAACATTGTAACCAATATATATTCATCGTAAAGAACACAACCTCTTTTGGATTAAAGCAATTTATTTTTACAACAAAAACAATCTATACTTCAATTTAATCATTTCATAATGCAGTCGAACGTTAAATTATGGTATGCTGTGCTGTCTTCAGTTCAAGTCAATTCATTTCTTTCGTTCCACCTCACATCCCAGCTCACGGGCCTGTAAGCAGATGTCTCTTCGGTACTGAACCACCTGTTGAGACTGGACAAACAATATAGACAGAACAGAAAAAAATTAGCGAGCTCTCTTCGCGAAACACGCATGACAGTATGGGCGCGTGTGTCACCAAAATCGTCTCAGTGCCCCTTAAGCTGGTTTTCCTCGCCTGTTGGACGAAAAAAGGTGATGGCATGCTACGTCGACTTAGGACATCTGAGACACGTGCAATGCTGCCCGTTGGATACGAAGGATGCATAACATTACCAAAAATACAAAGGGCAAACATTAAACACACCAACAAAAGCGCTGTAAGCTAGAGATCTCAACACTAACCTCTTTAAAGCTTCTGCGGTCGTTCATCTTCAAGATTTCTGCTGCCGGCTTGTTTACAAATAAATAGTTTAGTTAAAACGTCGTTTACAAGAAGTAACTGTTTAATAACATTAGTTCATACCTAACTGAAATCGATAATAGTCTGGTTTACATCGAAAATTGAACTCATTCAGGAGGAAAAGAAAAAGAAGCAAACAGATCATCTGATGAAATAGAATAACTTAAAAAGAAATGAGTGAGTAATCGTGAAGGATTTTTAATCAGTTATTGCGGGTTTTTGAGAAAATTTAACTTGACAGGAGATAAGACTTCTACAGACTAAGGTTTTAAATATACCTTTGGAGTTTTAGCTATTTTTTGATAAATCCCTCCTTCGACCAAAACCAAAGAAAGGAGCAGTACCAACAACACCGCGGTTTTCATCTTGCTTGTACTAGCTTCACTCACGAACTGACTCCTTTCCGGCTCAAGACGCCTCGCATATGAAGATATATAAAGGTGCATCAGTCAGAGTAAGATGTGTCCGGCTGTTTAGGAGCTCTTTGTTTATCTCATATTAATGAGTTTTTCTTACAGCATTAAAGCTGTTGCCTTTAACTTTCATGTCACTACAACGTGATAGATATCAATGTTGGCAGAACGTTTTTGCATCTTTCTTTGAACAAGTTATATTTAATGGTTTGCATCGACAAAGAAAGTACCTTTTGAACCAATCGAATGGATAGTAATTGACAACGCTCTGTGATCTCTTTTTTTGTTTTGCCGGTGAGTTCAAAAAAGGCCGCCGCGTTTAAACTTGAGTTTTATTCATAACCATCGGATTCTCTCGAACTCTTGGCTGTCGATTCTCAGTTATATTTGTAAAATTCATTGAGGCTCGCATCAGCATTTTGAATTTTAATTAACTCAGGCTTTATGCTTCAGGTTATTTTCGTATATCTTAAGGACTCAAATATATAACAGGTTTATCTATGGAAATTCGTGGACACAACAACAACCACACTGTGAGAAATCATGTTAGCATCAAGTGAACTTGCCTGTGTAACGCTAAGCTGCAAAGCGAGTTTTTTTTTAGTTTTCCTCGAAATGTTTTTTAGATGAAGATTATTCTAATGATAGAGGACCCCTCAATGTGCATAGCAGTCCTAGCAGCTGGTTCTATTAGCCCCCGACTTGCTTTTACAAACTATCGTCTACTCTGCTAAGTCAAAGTTGCCGAGGGGGAATTTCTCAAACTCTAAATGGAAGGTGTGCGTTATTGCAGTTTTAAAAGTAAAATATCTCGCGGGTTAAAGAGCTATACAACGTTAGGCTTAAATCAAAGTGGTAGTGCACATTACAATGGATTTTTGTTATTTTTTCATCGGATTAGATCAAAAAATTATTTCTCTTCTTTTAACCTTTTGGAAAATGTAGACCAAAATTATTAATTGGTTGACAAATGAATTGCACCCTATTGCATTTTAAGCATGTCTATCCGTTAATAAGGAAAATTTTAAGAAAAAACTTGAAATAATCGTCAGTTGAGAATTTCTCAAACTGGATAATTGGATAGGTTCCGATAGAAGACATCTAAAAGGAGCACAAATTGTTTCTTACTCATCGAAAGTCAGTGAAAGAAGTAAACTGGTTCAATAGGCGTGTGGCATGAGATTTTGTGGTAGTTTTTTTTTGTGGACCAGTGAGTTTTTTTGTTCCGTGTGAACGAATTTATCGGATGCAACTTCTTCGGGAAACTTATATTCAGTTGGGTTTTTCTATTCCGGTAATAATATCATAAAATTTCATTGTTTGTTGAGTAACAAATCATACATATATCTTATTAACCAAGCGCGAGGGCCGTACTGGGAGAATATCGGCCCGAGGTCTTGAGAGTACGGACCGAGCGCAGAGAGGTTCATACAAAAAAGACCGAGGGCCGATATTCTTCCAGTACGGTCCCGAGCAAGCTTGGTTAATAAGAGATTTATTATACGACTGAAGTTCAAAGTGACACAAGTGAGGTAACATTCGGGACCATTCAGGACAGAGCCCGGTCCAATACTTAGAGAATATTGAACCGGCAATAGAGCATTTTGATTGGTTGATTTTAGTTATTGGCCCTCTGACTGCCCGAGTCGTGTAATAATATCTAGTATTAGAAAAGGTTCTTTGTATCCCATGAAATCTTACTTAAAAGGGTTGTCATGACATAAAACTAAAGCACAAAACACAAAGTCTACTTCTACTAGCTCCCTGCAGCGTTTTATTTCACAAAATTTATGTGCCAGCAGGAACTTAATTTTACGATTAATTAAACGATCCTCAAAAACTAAAACCGTAAGATTTTCGTATGCTGAAAGACTATGCACAGTCGAAAAACAGGAAATGTAAGGATAAGATCGATAGCTCCTGATAAAGGAAAAAAAAGCGCTTTGGTGTTGATGTCACGTATGCCGCTGCTGACAGTTGCCTGTAATGCATGCCTCACAGTACCAAAAATAAACGAAACAAATCGAACAAAGAGAGTTTGATCTGACTGACTTACCAGCTCTGAAGTTTTGTCAAAGGTTCAAACACGTCAAGGTACACGCCTCCACCCGGATTTCGCGCGCCGTCCGATTTCGCACGCATCCGCTCGATTTCGCGCTGTCCGATTTCGCTTGCTTCTGGCAAATTTCGCGTGTTGTCCGAGCTTCCGTTCGTTTTCGGTGCCTGTGTCCTACTTTGAACGCCTCTGTCCTATTTCGAACGCGTTCGCCCGATTTTGGACTCCTCCAGCGGATTTCGTCCTCCTTTGAAAACTTTCGTCCGATTTCGGGCTTTGAGGTCCGTTTCTACGTCTTTCCGTTTCGGTAACAGCAGCCTAACTTCCATTTACAAGTAATCACATTCGAAAATTTGCAAATTCTGAAAAAGCCTTATTGTGTTTTCCGAGAAAGACCACAAAGCTGGAACATGTGATAACATCAAACTTAAACGAAATGAAAAAACTCTCAACGAAAGTGAAAAACAGTGTTTCACAAAGATGTCATTTTAAATTGAAGGGTTTGCTATTCGCAGGAACACATTACCATCTTCGTTCATTTGGATGCCACACCAGTATCTGGTATCGATTCAGCTTATCTAAGAAAGGAATCTATGTAACGTTCAATCTCGGAGGCCAGAGAATATAAAAAGACTCACAAGGATCGTACAGCAGAATATTCAACCTTGTCAATCTTGAATTCAACATAGCTATATTATAAAAAACTTCCCAAATGGCTGTTTCCATGGAGTTTTTGGCGGTGAAGCCATGAAAAATATACTTGGTTTTTTTTTCGTGGCTCTCTAATCTTCATGTTCCCTAACTGACCACGCCAAAAACCGCCATCAATTGTTAGTAGCCAAACTTGTCCCTTTGAGATCGATAGTGCTAGTAAAAGTAGCACATTTTGCAACTAACACTACTCGAGTTTTTCTAAATTATTCGCAAAATTATGCTTTTTTTTTTCATAAAGTATGCTTTTCACTAAAAGAAACAAAACTAGTCCATAAATTGTTTATAAAGCATGGAATATGATGTGTTCTCTATTTTGGAGTAGCACACCTGCTCTAATGATAGATGTATTTACACTTCGGGGACTTGAGTCTTTAAATTTAACCCTGACAGGTGATGTTTTTCTCGAGTTCACTCGTAAAGAGGTTGAAAAGTAAAAGCAAGGCAGTTTTAAAGCGTCACGCTATTGTCATGAAGTAATGTTGTTTGTGGCCAAATTGTTTGCGTGACATCTGTTTTGCGTGACGAGTTAAGAGTCTTATCACGTGGAAGGACAAACCAATCAAATCACGCCCAGTCCAGACGACCAATTTGAGTTTTGGTTTGTATTTGTTGTAATCAAACAAATTGAACATGCATGGTGTCCTCGGTTCGAAGTGGCCAAAGATGACTTTGGCTTCATTTCTCAAGATGGAAGAGGGAACGGTGCTGATTTACTGTTTGTACTGCGTAGGATTTCTGGTATGATCGACCAGTGCCGCTTGCTTTTTCAATAACTCAATCTTGTTGAGATGAGTATAATCAAAAATTGAATAAGACACCAAAGATATTTGTTGTTGTCTTATGTCTAACAGGATTTGTTCGCTGTAAGTTGCTTCTTACCTCTTCTCACTCACAGAGCAAGGGAGCTTGGGGCATCACCGTCGCTTGTCGGAGTGATAGGTTTGTGGATCCGTAAAAAGGCACACTTTTAAACAAACGAACTTCCTCTACCTGGAAAACTCACTAGTTCATTGTTAAATTGCACCTGTTAATTTATTGTTTCACTATACGTCACACTGAAACCCTAGGTGTTTATTCTCGATGGGAGGTTCTCCGTGTTTATTTTTATAGTTCTTGACTGATGAATTGTCCAGAAAAAAGATGTCACGTAAAATAAAGAACAAGTTGAACATAGACAGAAGATTCCTATTCTTTCAGCAATCTTGTGTGTCGTCAAATTACATACTCAAGAGTTGAAATTTTGAAAAAAGTTGCTGATAAAAAGTTGTTAAGGCTGACTTTTTATCTGTATAATAATTAGTTTTCTGTTTTATTATGTCACAGGGTCTATATATGGTGCCCTTCAATTCTTTTCCAGTCCTGTCATGGTAAGAGTTTTGTCAATATTATTATTATTATTATTATTATTAAAATTAGTCTTCACAAAAAATTGTAAACTGCTTCAACCAGTCTGTTAAGTCCCCCGCAAAACATTGTTAAGTGCTTAGAGGCTTGCAATAAGTGCTACATAAATTGTAATCTATTAAATTATTATAAATTATTATATGCATAAAGTCACGCAACACTTTCGCAAAGTATACTTAAAAACAAGATTATGAGCTTGTTTTTCTTTTTATGTGACAGTTGATATGGGTGAAGTTAAAATTGACCAAGGGGGGCATGCATAGATATCTAGAGAGCATATTATGTAATGGTAATGGTTTATTAGATATGAATTCGACAATGTAATTGTTACAATTTGTATATATCTACTTGTTGTTCAAAACTCAGTATCAGGACAGGCTCAGGCATTGATTGTACTTTATCTACAATCTCACACTGGTAGCTTACTCACTTCACCTACCAAGCATTACAGAATTCATAGTGAGTAGCATGAAGCTGATTAGATTACAAGATTTTTGATATTGCCCTTTTGGGGGAGGGAAGGATATTTGGTTAACTTGTGCGTGGTGTGTACCATGTTATAGTTTATTCTTTGGCCAGTTAAACACCCTATCTTAGTCACTTTTGGGCAAATGTAATTTCTGTGATCCCAACTTAGTAACGTGGGAGTCTAGTGCTGAGAATGTCTGTCATCAGCAGTAATGATTGATGTTTCAAACACACTGGAAGTCATCATTGATAACACTCTCCTAAAATGTTACCTCTGTGTTCAAACCTTTTATGATAGATCACAAGTAAATTTACACAGACATGGAATGTCCCAAGATTTGCTCCTATTTTCACAGTGTGGGCAAGCCTTGACTAGTGTAATATACTGTGTCAGTGGTGGATCCAGGGAGAGGGTCCAGGGGATCCGGACCCCCCTAACAGACCTGACGCTTACAACTTTGAAACTGAAATTCCTACATCGACAGTATTGTATATCATGTTTTAACTGGCTGATCTTTTCAATGAATCTAAGTAAACGGTACTCTTGCGGCCAAGGAATTATAACGTGCAACCATGACTGGTGGATGGTGGGTGTGGGGGAGAAGCAATTTGCCTCAAAAGTCCAACAGTCCTTTCTGAACCAAAGTTTGGAACCCCCCCCCCCCAATCAAAAACAACTGGATCTGCTCCTGTGTGTGGTATACAATACTGTGGCTAGCATAATTAATATGGCAGACTTGATTTTGAATGACTTTGAATCAGCTTTGAATTATAATTGAACTTGAAGTTAATGTACATTTATATTAATAGTACACTTTTTCCTATTCGTAGGGCAAACTGAGTGATATATTTGGAAGAAAAAATGTTCTTTTGATTAGCCTCTTTGGAGCAGCTGTAGGTTATATTCTGACAGGAATTCCAACAACATTACTTTTTCTAGCACTGAGCAGAGTTCCAGTAGGTGAGATCCTTTTTTTTCTGGTTTATAAGTATGGAATGAGTCACCCTGTTCAATGCTTGTTGATTTTTACTCTTTACTGCAATCCATAGCTCCTGCAGAGGAGAGTGGGTATTAACATAAAATTAATATAAATCTAGTCAAGAATCCTAGTAGTGTAGTGTTTGGGAACGTGCTTGGGTCATTTTTGTTGCACTACTTAAGATAAACATGTATTGTTTCTTTTCAGGGATTTTCAAGCACAGTCAAAGTGTTGCAAAGACATATCTTTCAGATGTATCACCCTCTATTGATCATCCTAAAGTGTTTGGGAACTTTAATGCATTTTCCAGTCTAGGTTTTGTAATTGGTCCTTTGATTGGCTGACACCTGGCCATGCAGTCAAATGGTTTCTCCAGGGTGACTGCCTTAACTGGATGCATTTTCTTGATCAATTTTTTCTTTGTATGGTTCTTTGTGACACCAGTTGAACAAGTAAGGAAGCAGTCTTCTACAAGGAAAGAACATGATCCACTCCTTGCTGATGACAATATAGTAAACAACAAAATGGCTGACCACATAGAAAGTGAAGTAGATAGGAAAGAACTGAAGGATAGAAAAGAACTCAGTAAAAAAGCAGGTACCGCCACATCCAATGGAACAAGTATATACAGAATTTCTTCAATGAGTTCATCACTAGATTTGATAGTAATTCGTTTTGTGATGGGATTTTCGATGCTAGTCTTTCGCAGCAATTTCACCTCCATGTTAGAGTTCCACTTCAATACTAGTCCAAAAACCAATGGCTATATTATGTCTTACAATGGTCTAGTTGGTGGTTTTTCTGGAATTCTAGTGGGAAAGATAGCAAAATTGTACAATCACAATGATGCAACTTCACTTCTCACTAATTCTTATGGCATCACTTCTAGGTGTAACATTTTCACCCAGCATATTGTTTATTCCAATCTTCATTAGGCCACTGGCAATCTCGAGTGCAGTCTGCCGTGTCTGCACAACTAATCTGACTTTCCGCAGGGGCAGGGAGGATGAGAAAGGTGTCATGTTAGGGATAGGGAACTCATTACTGTCATTTGCACGAATGATTTCTCCTGCTTTAGGTGGGTTTGCTCAGGAGGTTAGTGTTTATGGGCCTGGTTGCATTGGTTCCCTTATAGCAGGCATGGGTGTTGTTATCATGGTACTCTTCCCACCTGATAGACCCAGAGTAAACAAAAGGGAGAAGAAAGAGCAGTGAGAATTACATATGGCAGTATGCTTTTAATTTCATCCATTTTACAAAGAGCCATTTCCAAATATTTTAAGCCATAAAAGTCAGAGTATTATCAGATCTTTAAAAAGGATATCACTTACTCGTTTGGAAACAAAGGGTAGACAAGATCAGAATGGTTAAAAATAGGGAGCTTTAATTTAAGCAGACAAGTGATGAGAATAGTCGATCTAAAGCTGAATTCTCCAAACTAACATCATAAGAGTTGTATGGCAGACAGTAAGGAGAATTGCTCATGGATTGTAGGAGTGAAAGCTTAGAGTTCAAATAAAAGGAAAGATTAGTTGCTGGCCAACTGTTTTGGCTAGCATCTAAGCATGTTCAACACAATCATTTACCACTATCCACACAATTTTGGAGTAAAATCCTTATCATAGTGCCAATGCTAGTCTTGGATTTTCTTTACTTGGGGCAAATTATTCTTATAAAGTTTATAAGTAAATCTTTATTTCTTTGAAAAGTTAAAATAAATATCAATATAATTGATATTTCAATGTTGAAACAACTCTAAATTTATTTCACTGGGAAATTTTCACATATTAATTCTTTATTCCAACAGGTACAGTTACTGGTTCCCTGAATTACAAAAGTATTTACTGTATCATTGAGAATTGTTTTAAATTGTGTGTTCTATAGTATATTTGTACCCAACCTATGGGAGTTGTTGGCCAGTGCAGGACAGATAATTAGTCACTGTCAGTGCTAATTATTTTTAATTTCTGATATACATGTAGATGTTATTTTTGTGTGGAATTCCACATGTGAGTAATGTCATATTTTGTGTAAAATACTTGCAGATAACATACATGTATCAAGTATTTGTCTAGACACATTACATGTAATTCAATCTATATTCAGTTCACAGGCAAGCAACAACACTTGAAACCATTATGGTTGTACTGTAGTAATTCTTGCATTTCAAATGTAAGAATTTTAGAAAATTGTCTCAAATGTATTTTATGTTGGACAAAATATTTCATATCATAGAATTATTTACTAGTAAGGGAAAATTACTTTGTGTAGAGCAAAATATTGGATCTGATGCATTGCCCTGCTCATGGAATATAAATCATCAATGACCTAAGCCAAGCGTTAAGTTTCACATCATTGTAAGCAACTTGTTCTCACATAAATAATTAAAGGAAGTAGTAGATTGGGCTAATAAAGATATTTTGTCATGTAAGAGTGTATCATTGGAAAAAAAATTCTTAAATTACAATCTACTGTAGCAGTTAGTCTTTTCATGATAGTCATCTTTACAGAAGAGAAGGTGGAGAGTGTATTTTCACTTTTTCATCCCACGAACAGTCAGCCATCTATAACATGGAAGAAGAATTAGAGGAAAATCTGCCTAAATTGATCATGACCAGTACTCTTTGCCATAGTTTAAACTGTTCACAGGGCCATTCTTTTTTTAAAATCCCCTCCAGGAATGAAGCCAAGTTCAACACCTCAACTGAATTGATAATGTAAAATTTGCCATTGCAGAGTATTAAAGCTGGCACCTTGCAGTTCATCAGAGCACTCTGATGAAGGACTAACATGTGAAACATTGCCTTTAGAGACTCTTTATGGTGGTTGATTTATAGTGACTATAATTACATGTATCAACCCAGTTAATAAAACCAAATTATCTTGTAGTACCAATAACCACCATGGTTTCTTCGGAGACTTAACCCTCTTGCCTCTCCAAATACTTGGCAACAACACAAGCTCATATCCTTCTGGAAATAATCACGATACAGCAATGTCTTCTAGATCACTAGATCTTTACTGCAGGCCTGGACTTTGGCAAATTATTGGTCTCATTATCACTAATATGTCAAGATATATTTTTTTTAATGTAAAAATTACCTGTCCTGGAAGATGAAGATTGAAATCTAATCCCAGAACAAATTCTGTGTGGTGTTCTGTAGTCTCTAATGGACATGTTCCATTGCCGATGTTCCAAGTTCGAACTGTAAAGTCATAGGAGCAAGATGCCAGTAAGGTGCCATTATGGGGAGAGCACTGATGAGAAATAATGGATGAAGTGATAAATTTTTGTTATCAACCCTGATAATAACTCTTCTTGATAATGAAAACATATTTGGAAGATGTTCCTACATATAACTGTGTACACTGATTAGGAAAGCCTGTTGATAAGGGAAGGACCACTACTTTTACACGACTTTTATATCATTCTACAGTACCATCTTATTTAAGCTACTGTTTGTAACAGTTGTTTGAATAGAATTAGAATTAATTTATTGTTAATAGTCAGCTTTCTTTATACCAAGGGATTGAAGACCTCAGTCACTTTGCACCAATAGATAGTACTGTTCTTGATTGAAAGTAGCAATGAAAATGACAAATAATCAATTTGAAAAAGAAGTTAGGACCTAATAAAAGTTCAATATTTATTTCAGAGAATAAGGTAGGACCCTCGCTCCAAATATGAGGTTTACAGGCTGACTGAGTGAGAAATTAATTATCAAACTTGCCAGTTAGATTTTAAAATTTAGGAGCTAAGGGTTGCAAGATTGCCAGTGAAAATTACACACCAGAGAATAAAACATTCTGTGACAGCCAAACGCATGTTGCCAATTTGGCCAGTTTTCCAAAAATTAGAGAAAATGTTTTACTTCCCACCATAGTGACTGAAGTAGTTGCAAGTAGGATTGTTGTTTTAGTAAAAGGGAGTGGTATTTAGGCTAAACCTTTCCTTCCCACCTGCAAACTGGTTAAAAGTGGTTCTTACCTTCACTCGTCTTACTGCATACTGGTGGCCTTCTAGTGTAAACACAGGTGCGGTTATGTTTCTCAGATCCCAACCTCTATATATTGGAAGAAAGACAACCATTGCGACATGAATCTACAAGGTGTATTTACATATGACCTTTACTGACTAAAATTCCACCAAAAATATATACATTATCAAAAAAGTTAATCATCTATGCTATAATTCAATTTATGCTGTCTCACGGAACGATGTCCAACAACTGCAAAAAAATTATTTTTTATAAATGATATTACCAAATTGGTACCTGATTTTTGTATCCACTGATCCAGTCACCACAAAATTCTCCAAAAGATACAAAAAATGTCAGACAATTAGGGAAACATTCCTTTATATTGTTAACCCTTTAAGCCCCGATAGTGCGTATCTGCACTCTTACGTGACTGCGTCACATTCCCGATAGTGCGTATTTGCACTCTGTGGAGTGCTTGTGCTTTGACCAATAAAAAAAAACGCTTTTACTTGGTTGCTAGGTGGTTGAAGTTTGTCTTAGCCAATAGCAGAGAGTTTTAGTTCTTTTTCAATATGCAAATCACTATAGGTTGTGACTTAGTGTCACGCTGAAAATTTGAATTGAAGTGAGTAGAGTGAAAATGGCTACTGAGAGTGAGAGCGAAAGCGCAAACGAAGAATTCCTGGGGTTTGACGAAGAAGCACAAGCTGCTGTTTTTCGACCGAGAGAAGAAGAATCGGAGTCAGACGTTTCAGTATCTTCTGTTGCGACTGAAGAGTTATCAGACTCGTCCGAGAGCGAAGAAGAAGACGACGACGATCAGTGGAATGACAACAACAATCCGGTCGAAGTCTCACCGTTCACCGCCGCCACTGGTCCGACCTGGGGAGTCGCAGAGGATGGAACTGCGATTGACTTTTTCTATTTAATGTTCCCAGAGGACTTGATTGAACATATTGTGCGGAGTCAACATTGACAATACGATACTACACATAAATGGAAAGCGTGGCATTAAAGTGTGGGTTTGTGCGGAAGCGTCAAGCGGGTATGTTTGCGATTTCCAAGTTTATACTGGAAAGAAACAAGATGGCGCGACGGAACAAAATCTTGGTTATCGTGTTGTTCACGATCTGACCCGCAACTTTGTCGGAAAAAATCATCATGTTTTCTTTGATAATTTCTTTTCGACTGTTAAGCTTGCCGAGGATCTCCTGAAAGACGGCATATACTGTTGCGCAACGGCACGAGCGAACAGAAAAGATTTCCCCAAAGATCTTGCCGCGAAGAGTCCAATTGTGAAGCGTTTGAAGCGGGGAGAGTCTATTCATCGGCGAAAGGAGAACGTTGTCGCAACCGCGTGGAAGGACAAAAAGATCGTTCATTTTTTAAGCACGCAAAGTAATCCTATTGGAAACGAAACCGTTAACAGAAAACAACGAGATGGAACGATTATTCAAGTGCCGAGCGTCCCTGTCGTCAAAAGCTACAATGCGAGCATGGGGGGAGTCGATCTTCACGATCAACTGCGTGGCTACTACTCGCTTGGAAAAAAATCAAAGAAATGGTGGCGTTATCTTTTTTGGTTTGTCATGGATCTGAGCATAGTTAATGCCTTCATCCTCGAAAAGAAAGCCATTAATCACCCCTCAAGAACGCAACTAGCGTTTCGAATCGAACTTGCGAAAGACCTGATCGCAGACTTTTCGAGTCGGCAAAGAAGTGTTTGTTCTGGGCAAGTTGAGGGTGGACACTGGCCGATAAATTCCAGCAGAGGCCGTTGCAAGCGATGTCTTAAACGGAAAAGGACAAAGTTTACAATGATGGCTTGCCAGAGCTGTGAGAAGAGACTTTGTTTGGAGTGTTTCCCAAATCATGTTGGGGACGTGTAATTCGTCACGAGTGCGCGAAATTCAAAATGATCAAGCAACAAACATTTGACTTCAACTTGTTTTTATATCCTGAACTTACCACTCATGGCAATGTATTTCAAATTTATAATGATATTTAGGGACCTGTTCAAGTTCTGTTGAGTTCTGAGCCATGTTAATAGTTTTTTTGCCTTTTTATTGTCACAATATATAAGGCGATCACAGAATTGAATGGAGAAATGTCAGCTTTCTTGATACAGAACTGAGAGTGCTACCAAACGATGTCGGTGAAATTTCGCGGGGAGATTCATGCGAAGTGACGTAGGTTTTCTGTCAAAAATAAAAATAAAAACAAACAAACAAAAAAAATAGATGACGAGCACAAGAGAATTTTGGCATTTTATTGTGTAGAAAAATACACGACAAAAGCAAAAAACAAAAAAAAGAAAAAGCAAAATAAAAATCCAGTTTCCTGTTCCCAGTCTCAGTAGGCCTCTTTCTTCACAGTGTTAAAATGCATATCTATGTCCCTGTGAGGATCTTATTTTATACCAAAATCAATATATGATATACGGTACAGGCGAAAGGAAACGTGAAATGTTTCTTTCATGTATCAGCACAGCCACGAACATTTTAAACCTTTGTTAATTAATCTAACCAAAGAATGCCGCGTCTGGTTTAACATAAAATGAAAGAAATGTATTTATAATAAATGCGTCCACAGAGGCAAAAATTAGTGATACCTGGTGTGTAACATTGTGCCAATGCACACACTTAATAGCTTCTTCGAGAACTGTCCGAATCGTTGTGTGTAACAAGTCCCGGTAATAGAGCCTGTCCGCCATTACCACATATGCTAATACTTCTCGTTGATATGGCTTCTATCAGTTCTTTGTATGCTTCGTTTTCTTTATTCTTGACCGGAAACGCTCCATTGCATTCTCAGTCAGACAAACGTCCTCACCCTACTCTCCAACCCTGTATTTAAAAACTCTTCACACCGACAGCTAACACTAATATATCATTGAATTTCGAGATCAGGGTCGACTGGTAATCGTGGGCGCGTAATGAGTGCAAGTGAGGTCATCGAGGTCGTGGGTTCGAATCACGCTACAGGAGTTATTCTTGATCTGGCTTGGGGGCTGAATAACTTCTCCCCGAGTACGATTTGGAGCTGGCGGACAAGGAGTAACTCTCAAACTGGCTTGGGGGCCGAGTAACTTCTCCCCGTGAAATTCTTTTTCGTTTTTGTTGTTACTGTCTTCTTTTTTCAATTTTTTTCTCTCTGTTATCCGGGTCTTTTTCCTTTTCTTTTTACGTCTTTTCTCTTTTTTTTCTGAGCAGTTATCTTTTTGAGCCACTATGGTATTTTTCTGGTATGTTTTTGGTATTTAATTTTTAAAGTGATATTGTTAAAAAGGGTTAAATTGATGGGGAAAATGTGGCTGAATTCTTGTTATGATTTGCTTTTGATAACACAAGCAAATATAGGGTGAGCAAAAATAGTAGATAAAGCGTAAAATTTTGAAGTAATATACGCAACTGTTCTTATTGTTAGACTTGCCTTTTCGCTGATTAAGTATTTTAAAGTCACACTTAATTCCTCCCACAAGTAATATTTCCTCGTTTTTTTTTTGTTTTCTTTTGTTTTCGATTTTTACAACTAGGGCTTAAAGGAATCGTACGTTTCGTACTTTCTCTTTGTTGGCGCTCTTTCTATTCTGCAGAATATAATTTTCGCAACTTTTCGTCACCCCGGAGTTTGCCTTTCCAACACTAGTTTGTTTCTGGTCTGTAAGTTTGGAAACATTTCCCAACGTAGTCAAACACTGACTAGGGATAAGTATTTTCGCTAGCTCAGAGCTGTGTCCCCAAGACGAAAGACACGAACATATCGATGGTTATGTATGATGTTCAGCAAGCAGTCACACGTGGGAAAGAAGGAATTGGAGTTATCCGGTCAGGTTGGTGCGGAGTCAACATTGACAATACGATACTACACATAAATGGGAAGACATTTGTAGCTTCTTTATCAAATACAGGAGCGGATCCAGTAGTTTTTGACTG